CAACTTTTCGGGACCGCCTCCGCCCCGGAGGGACTTCCCCGTAAACCGTCGCCCACAGTACCCCGGCCCCATCGGGCCTTGAGTCCCTTGCGCACGCGCCCCTTATTCGCCCGATTGCATTCATATCCTTAAGACTCCCCCACTTATCCAAAAATCCTTGGCACACCCCTTTTCGCACTTCCAGGCCCACATCCCACTCCGATCAGGAAGTCGCGCTGGGCGTGAGGTTGGGCGTCTGCCATGCCGATCCTCGACCGCTCCCTCCACTCTCGACCCACCGACAATGTCCATGACAGCTAATCAGAAGCATGGCGTAATCTTATGAAACCTAAAAAGGAAGAGAAAAAAAAGGGACACAAATAAATAAACAGAAAATATAATTCAATATATAGAGTTTCAATATTCTACATTCAAAGAGATATTTTTTAATGCCCCTAATGTGGTCTGCATTCCAACACTTCTTGGCTGTGCCCGCTGACATGTAGCTTCTACACAAAAAAACAATGCCTCTCCCTCCGGTTCACCGTGACGCAGGGCCTGTACGGTAATGGGAAACCAGTCGGCCGCCCCACAATTTCGCTCACTGACAGAAAATTGTGCTACTCCAAGCCATCTGGCCCTGCCCCCAGGCTGCGCCACCATGCTGGGCGTGGTCTAACAGTGACCTTTCGATTTCTTTTTCCCCATCTTACCTTATTGCAAAAAGTAGTCGAAGAAGAAAACAGCCTGCCAAAAAAAAGACAAAAAAGATGGCAATGTATCTAACAGCCTGGCAAAAAAAAGACAAAAACGATGGCAATGTATCTAGCAGTGGATTGAGTCTCATTTTGCACATTTGGAGAGTAGTGGTGCAAAAGAAAAAAGGAACTCCATCTACTCTTTTAGTCCTCACCCGTGTGACTACCCACACTAGGGCGACGACTTCGGGCCTCGCAACGCTACTCCTGAAAGTGGCTGTTTTCGGGAGTGCAGCATCGCCACACCAGCTCCGGAATTTGATCTGTCAAATCAAATTGGGGAGCTGTCAGAATTTCACTCCCGAGAGCACTCCCAAAACCACAGCCTGCAAAGCTGCATTTTCGGGAGAGCTCTTTCGGACCTCCGAGTTTCATTGCAGCTTGCCCTGTGGAGCTCATGTGACAAACATACTTCGGTCAGACTGCTTCCCATGGGCCGTGTCCGTATGTGGTGTCATTTTCAGTCCTGGAGAGTGGCCCGTTCAAGAGTGCAGTGTGGCGAAAGGCACTCTCGAACGGGATTTCACGTTTAGGAGCACTCCCGAACGTTTTTCTACAACTCGGGAGTGGTGTGGCGAGGCCTTTCGTCCTTTCTGCACGAAGTCCGCCCGTGTGACCACACGAGGACCAAAAGTCCCACATAGGCCTACCGAAATGCCTCAAAATTTTGAGACTTTCGGTCCTCGTGTGTGAGTATGCCCTGAGTCTTGTCATCTGCAGCTCTCCCAGCTGTTCACGTGAGAACCAGACCAGTGAGGCGGTGTCCTTTGCTATCGCTTCCCTTTTTTTTTTTTTTTTTTTTTTCAAGCCCACGGTGTTGTAGAGGCCGGTTACTAGGCAAACATTGATCGCGAGGAGCGGTCAGGCATGGTCGTCCTGAGGGAACGAGGCTACCTTCCCATACCATCCTCACGTCAATACTCCTAGCGCACCCCCTATCTCTACTATCCTGCCTCAGTGTGACCAGCACTCAGGACCATTACCCCTACTTGGTATCGAGGGGAACTTGGACCGAACATAGTGACAGGCACCAGGGCTAGCCATGACCCAGCCCTGGTGGAAGCGGAATCGAACGAGCCTCGTTGCACGGGGACTTTGGACGCCAGGCCCAAGCAATCTCCTAGTAGCCCCTAAGTTGACCAACTGGTAACTCACGCTCTCTACTC